CTTTCCGTACCCACTGTATATCTGTGTATAAATAACTGTATTTATTATCATTTTTTGTTATTCTATGAATTTGATTTTTTTTTTCTGTGTGTAGCATGAAGGAACCGCAACCATTATATATTTGTTATATAACCTTGTGTTCTATCACCAGCAGCTCAGCTTTTACATTTAAAGAATTAAAAAATATAAAATAAACAATTAAAAATACTGGACGTATTTCAGGAATGTATAAAAAGTAGATACCGCCTAATGGAAATAAACTACTAAAGTGCAACTGCCATTGTGGGCTGGATAAAGTAACAAACACCTATACAATATATTGTGGTCCAATAACACCAGCAACATCTACAGCCTTAAAAATGACCACAGACTGAATCCACACCTCTCTGACTGTGTTTCAACTGTGGGCTGCACTGACTGCACAGCTGTTTATACTGTTCACTGTGGCTATGGTCAAATGTACAGCTAGCCTAATCACAGTGGCTGTCACATTATATATTGCACCCCAATACTGAGCTGATCTCAGAAGAGTTTGGCATTTTTTTTTTTTTTTTTCAGAGAGTAGATCCATCCACTCAGCACCTCTGTGCAAGATTTCTGCTAGTTGCCAGATAAACGTCAGGGTGACATGGCTCCAGGAAAAGACAGTGTTTGACTGTTGTTTGCCAAAAATAGTTTCTCCATGTAACTCCCCATAAAACCACCAAGGATGGTTTTTACACATGGGTTTGTGTACAGACAAAACAAACTTCTAGTCTTAACGCTAAGCTAATTGCCTCTTTGAGCTCTTAACACACGAAGAAGAATTTTTCACAAAAAGTCAAACTATTGCTTTAAATTAGCATCTTGCAAGTGATCAACTTTAGCCAAAATACTTATCATACCTTGCATCTCATTGAGACGATTGACTTTTGCTTTCAGTCCTTTGCGAAGGTCGTTTATCTCCTTGTCCAGCTGCTCTTGGTCTACAGATTAGATCAGACGAGCTCAGGATGATCTCACACGTAGCAACAATTGGGCTGGGTATCGCTTAAAGAAATTCCTTACCAATAGCTTGACTTTAATGCCGGTTTTTGAAGGATTCTTTTATCGATACGATTTTTACGAAAGAAAATTACATTACGATACAATTTATCAGGTCACTTACAGGGTTCACACTGCAGGCACGAGGCTGATTTGTTTTTGCTCATATGTGACTCAGATCTTTTTTTTTTCATGACAGTGCAAACTATGAAAATCACATGGAATCTGAATTTATTTGGGCAATTTAATATATGGTCCCAATCAGATACAGGTCGGATTTTTTGCAATGTACTACTATGTTATCTGTGCAAACAAACAGCTCTCAGTGAGCGCCGTCTCACGAGTCTTTTCCTGCATGCCCCTGCAACATGTAATGTTGAAAGCCTGCTGCGTGCTCATCAAAATCTGGTCGTGAAAAACGAAGCATTTTTTAATACTAGCACTATCACAGCAGTTTGGTTGGTGCCATTAAAGTATCAACGTTCGGTACCCAGCCCTCAGGTACAACATGTACAACACACATATTTATGTTTAAATTTAGAGTGAAAATCTACACAATACATTCAGATTTTATTAAGTGGAATCTTTTACCTTTCTGAATCATCTCCTTCGTTTTCAGTTTGGGAAGTTTGATGAACATGTTCCCGAAGCAAACCTTCACTTTCTCTGCAAAGGACAGCAGTGTTTCATTTCAGGCTGCACAGTTCATCACAATATTATCAAAACTGCAGTATGGCCCAGTGCAATATGCAAATCACAGAAGCTGCAATGTGTTTGATGAAGGTAAAATGTGACAACATTATAATGAAGTACTGTATAGCTGCAGCGATACCCTGGACGACTCATCTTGTTCTCCAGATTTAAGAAAACACGATTGTTTTGTCACCATCATGATTTAGGTTTTTTCGGTGAAAATTGAATTTGTGATGCAAAAATGTCCACACTAATGGTGAATCACATCACAATCACAATATCTGTCTAAAGAATGACATTATGATGTTAGCCCATATCATGAAGCCCTAATTTCAAGTGCAACCAATATTACCACCGTTTACTTAACTCATATGAAAATACTAAACTATGTCCTCCACTGTGAAACCACTGGAAGCATTGTTTTCATAACCTAAGCCAACGTGTCCCTGATGTCCCTGCTTGAATGTTTGAGCCGAGATGTGCGGTAACACTGCGACAGCGAGGTCACTCACCTGAGTCTGACATTTCATTTTTCAGGGCGTTCAGTGCCTCTCTGTTGCTGTTTCTCTTTGTGTCCAGGTCCACTATCTGAAACATCGACAGAGATAGTTAGATAGTAGTTCATTCACAACCTTAACCCGTAGGTGATGCTGCAACAACTATTGGATTTTTTTCTGCATTGTGACAAACAAGCAAGTATCATTTTCAGCTATTTGGATTAATGAGTACAACCTAATCACACACACACACACCAACCATGTTAATAGGAGATTTATAATCTAAAAATGCAGTATCATAGCACTGCAACTAACGACTTTTTTAATTGTCTGTCGGTGGTTTTCTTGATTAATCGATTAGCTGTTTGTTCCATAAAGTGGTGAAGAATGTTGATCAAGCTGATGTCCTCAAATGTCTGGTTTTGTCCACAACCCGAAGACGTTCAGTTTACTGTTTACATTTTTGAGAAGCTGAAATCAGAGACATTTTTGGACATTTTAATAACCCAAAAGGATAAATCAAGTTATACCTGCGTGTATTTGACACTTTTCTCTATTTAGTGTACAGCCGTACTTTATTTATCAGAGACATATTTCAATCGTTTTGTTTTTGATCAATAAAGTTTATCTAGCTCTCATTCACTGAGCATGTGTGGCAGAGGCTCGAGGGCCAGGTCTGTTAAAAGCTAAAAACTGTTGTTTTATATTGGTGAAATGACGATATAACGTTACTATAGTTTTAATAGCAGTTCACTGTAACATACTGGATCATCTAAGAATATAACCCAGTATTATGTTCCAGACCCCCAGGACATTAACATTTCCTGCCTGAGACTAGCGTACAAGGTTTTATTTCGTAATTGTATTACCAGGTGTGTTCATTTTCAAACAACTGCAAATATAGCGTAAATAAAATAAACTGACTGTGAACCACGAGTCCACAATTCAGCTAGTTAGCTTAGCTGCTAATGTTCTCAACTGTAGTTTCCGTTAGCAGAGATATAACGCTGTGTATCGGTCCTCCCGGCTAACTGTTAGCAGCGCAGTGTTCCCATGTCGGTATTTAGTTACCTGCTGTTTAGTAGTGAGAACTTCTTCAGCTGCCCCCTCAACTTCTGTCAAATAGTCCAAAACACGCTGGGATACGGCGTCCATATTGGTTGTGTCGCTATAAAAATACGTCCGGTGTGAAACAACTGACCGGAGACAGAAGACGCATAATAATAGTTCCCCACAAACAGTCCCACTCACTGTGAGATGTGCCTGCCAGCAGGTGGCGGTACTGCTCCTTTAGCCCGGAGACGCCGGAGCGATTCTGTTTTTAAACTTTATTGAGCTTCTTTAAATAACGGGGATCGTCAGTGGATGTTAAGCAATTTAATTCATTTAAAGGGGGTTTGATCAAGATACAATGCAAGTAATTTAGAGTCGTAAGCCACTTCTCTTTCCCAGTTGTATGAAGGATTTTTTAAGAATTTATAAATGGCACAAAGCTTGGAGCAACTTTAAAAAATGTACACTTGTGAATGTAAAATGTACCCATAGTCAAAATATTATATATATATAATATTATTATTACCTAAAAATGTAACATCTTTGTTTTGCATAAAAGCACCACACTTTGTGAACTACTATGTAAGAGTATATACTTTTTTAATGAAAATCATTGGAAATCTAGCAGACCTACCTGGGAATTTGTTTGCCCTGTGTTTTAGCATCTTAGCCACTAACATTTTTGGATGTGAACATCTATTTTTCATCAATTTCTAGAGACTTTCATTTATCCAATCTTTAATTTAGAGAGGTTTACAGAGCACTGATCGGTTCAAGGCTAGCAGTGCACCCCCCTTTCTTCTTCTCACAACCGCTCAGGCTCTGTAGTCACTCTGGACTGTGAGTGAACAGCAATGTTCAAGTCTAACAAACAAAAAGGCATGCTTTGGAAAAAGTTTTGTACCCTGCGCTATAAGAGCGTTAAACTCACAGACAAGTTAACGATGTCACTCCTGTGTTATATGTGTAGATATGTCTATATTGTCTGTATATGTGTATATGTGTGTCATGTCGAAGGTGCTCTTTGTACA